CGCAGGGCACCACGAGCTGCGGTGAGCAGATCATCAGGTGGAACGTAGTCATGGTGCCGCACATCATGGTAAATGACTGTTGATAGCTGCATGTTGACCAGGTTGTCGTCACTCGGGTCGCTAAGCCCCCACCGTGCCAGGACTGGACCAGGGAGAAATCGACGTCCCCCAGATCTCGCCATCGCAATGCCCCAGGCAAGACCACGGCACTGTAGGTAGTGTCCTAGCTCGTCCAGGTAGCCTTCGCAGCCGAAAGTGCACTTTCTTTGCCCAGAGGGAGACGAGATGCGCGAGGAAGCCAGCCAGCCTCCCACGAAACCACGTAAAATCGAAGAGGGCCATGCCATAGGGTATCCGCGAAGCATTTTGCGCAACCGAGGCCAATCAATCTGGTCCAACTGCATCGCCAAGGAGGGAAACCATTTGACCCACCGTCTAGAAATGGTAGCAACTAAGGGCGAAGGCTCGCTCCCAGGGACGCTGAAACTGGACAAGAAGGCGGCCATGCTGGCATTGTATGCGACACGTTGGGCACCTTTAATCGCAGCAGGATGTTCAGCCAGGAGCGCCCGGGCAGCCATCGCAGCAGGAGAGGAGGATGAGCACGCAGCGTCCAGCGTCTCCACAATGGCGGGCATGACCCAAAAAGAAGGCGAGAGGTGGCCTGCAAGGTCAACCAGTGGACGATGAACATACCACCGCTCTGACGCACGCCGAAGAAGTCGTAGATAGTCCTTGTGCTCGGGATGCATGGATAGCCCAGAGCGAATAAGAGCAGCCTCTGCCATCGCGACAATATTGTGTAGTTTCGGCCCACCCCAATCCTTCAGCGCAAAGAAATCGACCAGCCGCAGTGCACCACCAGGGAGGCGAAGGAGGCGAACCAGAACGTGTATGTCGAACTTGCGGGTGGCCTCTGGGAGCGCGAAGAATTGCGCAACATAGCTCAGCGTCGGTACTGCACGACTCACACAGTTCAGTGCATTCAGCGACAGCGGTGCAGACGAAGCAGCCAACGCACCAACACGCATCTTGTATTTGGCCCATGGTCCAGTCCAAGAGCTCATAGGCACTGCAGCAGGTCCGAGCCAGACGCCCAAGTACAGCAGGATGGCCTCTACCTTGAATGCCGCCGCCGCCCACCCAGGAACGTGCTCTTGAAGAAAATCTAGTGTCTTGGCCTGGATAGTCTCAGAGAAGGCGTCGGCGAGAGGCACCAGAACACACTTGGGTGGTTTCAATTTGAGACTGGCCAACTTCTCCGCCACCGCCATCACCCGAGCCAAAAACTTAAGGTCTAGAATATCAAAGACTATGCCACCAATATCGTCGGCACAGGCACGAAACGCACCACGGGCTGGCACTTCAATGCCACGTCTGATGTCTTCCAAGAATGGTGAAGTTACCGCTGCAAATAGGCCACCACTGAGCGCGCATCCTTGAATAATTCCACAGAAGATGCGGAAAAGCGGCTTGGTAATCCCATCCACACGCCCAACAGCAATCACAACTGACTACAAACCGCGAATAGCAGCATGTAGACCGCACGGAAGGCAAAGACGATTCAAGACAGCGAAGAGAAACTCTTGACTCAAGGACGCGAATGCCTGGCCGAATCCGAGTGCGACAAGCAACGGATTCCGCTCAAGCACAGCGGGCTGCAGCGATGCAACACGCGCCATCATGTCGAACTCCAGGATGTTGGAAGTAAACTGTCGCCCCGCAATGAAGCCCCTCTGCGTGGCAGACGTCGTCCTCTGTATGATAGCGGCAATGGCCTGGTTGAATGTGGCCGAAATGACCTTCATGTCCGTGTTTCGCAGCCCGAGTGTCCTCACCGTACCAGGTGTACGCATAACTCCTCTGCAATCGTCATCACCCACTCGACTACATTTGGGAAGAAAAGCCTGAAGCGTGTTACCAGTGCTGGAGAAAAGAAGCTGTCCATCCATCAGCCACGTGCAGGCGTTCCACAGTGCGTCACCACCCATCGGATGCGCCGCCCACGCTGAGCGGGGAAGGCCATCAACTCCAGGCGCTGAACGAGACGGCGCAAGCCGTCTCAGGACTCGACCAAGTAACGAACGAGTGGGCGGAGGGATATCATCATAATGACCAGGCTGCACGAACTTGTCGACGTAAACTCGCATAGCATTGGGGAACACCGCGGGTGGCGCAGACACAGGAGCCCAGCATGCTGCTAATGCGTCCAACTTGGCCATCGCATCTGTGTGCACGCAGTTGTTCACGGAGATGGCCCGAAGTGTCAGCCTCTTTCCAAACGGCGCCCACAGGCGCGCCTTGCGAGTCTTTGCAGCCAGGGCCCCGGCGGAGGGCCGAGCTCGCCCCACAGCGTGAAGCGCTGCGTGCCGAAGCTCCTCAAGCTCATGACCAGCAGCCGCAAGTTGAACAGAGTTGACCCAAGCCGCGAAAGCAGCCGGCTGGACCAGCCGCACCTGGCGCCCATAATCTCAATGCAGCCTCGTGCCGTCTCCGAAGCATTGCATACACGCGTGGCCAACCGTGCGTCTTGCCGCCAGACAGCCCTCGCCAGCTGTCGTGCAAACATCCGCTGCGCCTCGCGGGAGCCAGGATCGTCGACCAGCAGCTGATTAAGCGAGTCGAGGGCCGCCACATTGACTAACTCCTTATAGTGTTCCATCTGACGCGGGGGCGAGAGGACAAGAAGGCGCGCTGTTCGTAGTCAAGGAGACGCCCGAGTCGTTCGCAGAAGTCGACGGACTTGTAGATGGCTGGGGGCACCGTTTTGACGTACTTCTTGCGCTGCCGCCTGTTGATGAGAGTAACTCTGCCAGCGGCATGATCAGAGATCTCGCGATCGGAAAGCTCTTCAGGCGCGGAGATAACCGTCACAGAATGTTGAATTTGACACGCCACCCAACCAGGTTCAGATATCCAAACACGATCGATCTGCGCCACTGTCTTGGAGTCCCTGCAGTAGTGAGTGGGGTCCTCTGAGGCTACCTCGACGAATGGCGAGAGCACAGAGAGCCGAAGCTTCATATGCGTTCTCGCATTGTTGGTGACCCGAAGATCTCGCGCTTGGACAGGATCAGAAAGGTCCAGGGCCTCATGCTTGGAAAAGTTGAAATCCCCACAGACCACAACCTTTCTTGTAGACGGAGCCGCTGCAGCCCAAGCATAGTTTTCCTGGATACGTTGCGTAATTTGAAGCACATCACTTCGCTCCAGGCCGTGATTGTGAACGTTGTAATGTCGAAGTTCAACCTGTCCACGACGAAGAACCAGGCGCAATACACGACCAGGAATAATATCGAGCGGAACAGCAATAGCATCCACACCCTGCGCGGGCGGGGCGACCGTCGCCACGCCACCGCGCCGATGGCCGTCACGTGCCACCTCAAAAAATCCAAAAACTGAGGACGATGGTGCAATCCTCGACATGACAAACTGGAACTCCGCCAAAGTTTGGTCCACTTCTTGGGTGGCGAAGATGGCGTTCGTGATCCCAGCTTGATGAAGGTACGTGGCTTTGGCCATGGCTTGAACCCCGCGCCACCTCAAGAACGCCCTGGCATTCCAAGCACAAAAAACGATTTGACCTGTCTTCGGCGACATTCCGCCTTCAACCTCCGAGAGGAAGAGGCCGTCGTACTGGCTAAAGACTCCATTCGGGCTCACCGTTGGGGGTGATGATGTGGTTGATGGCGGATTTGATCTCGTCCCTGGTCCACCTCGTCGTGGCGAGTGCGGCATCGTTCCAATACCATTTGGTAGCCTCCTGCCCTGGCTGCGGTTCAAGACGGAGAATCGGGTTCCAGCTTTCGGAGATCCATCCATTCTGGCGATCGAAGAACAGCTTTACGTCGGGGTACTTCTCTCGCAGGACGGCCGTGATCTTCTTCCCAGCAATCTCGCGCTTGATCTGGAACGGATTCTTGTCGGCACCCACGTGCAGCTGCGTGGATCCTCCAGATGCGGCAGGGACGGGAAAGCGCATCCAGTTGCCTTTGCCAGGCAGTCGAAGTGCTCCAAGGGCCTGCACTGCACGCCGACCAGCGACAGCGACAGGGCCTGTGAACTGCAGCGTAAACAACCGATCTTGCTCTTCTCCCTGAACTTCCCATCCGTCAATCTTGGACTTGTCCAGCCAGGCCTTGATGGAGTCGTGGACATCCGTACGCTTGACCATAGAGGAAGCCACGATCTTGAGCACCGTCGCATCCACCTCTCTGTGAAATCCAGCGGCCGGAGGCTTGGGCGGAGGCGGAGCACGATGTGCGAGCGCCAAGGCATTTCGCAGCTCATCCATTTGCTTGCGCATGTCCCCAAGCTCATCATGCATCTTCTCACTGCGCGAATCCAAGCTGGTGACTCTGGCACTGAGACCTGCAAGCTGTGTCTGAAACCGGCGCTCCATCGCAGCCAGCTCGGGACGAAGCGAGGCCTCGGCACGTGGCTGGAACGCTCTTGACGGCGTCCTCCACAGCACGGATCGCGGCCATGACGGGATCGACGGCCTGCGTGGCAGCTGCGGAAGCTGTCGAGGCGACCATTCCAGTGATCTATCTAATTTTTGAAAGAGACGAACGTGCTGCGGAGGTGGCCGTCGATGAAGCCCTTGACGTGGTCATCCCAACCGCTGGGGTCCATGTCTGGATCGTTCTCTTCATCAGAACCGCATCTGCTGGAACGGGACCGCTCGTCGGCACGACCATCACCTGCCTCAGCACCGTCATCAGCAGCACAAGCGACACTGCCGCGAGCATCGCCAGGGAGCTTCTTCTTCTTTCGCCGTCCTCCAGGAGCAGAGGGCGCCATGAGCCACGGGCGCAGCGCACGGGCGGAGGGGCAGCGCGCGTGGCGGAAAGTGGCCGCGGACTAGCGGTATCCATTCCCTGCTTGCGCAAAGCAGGCATCTTGAGCCAAAATGGCTACGGAAGGAGGAGGAGGAGGAGGAGGAGGAAGAGGAGGAGGAGGAGGAGGAGGGGGAGGATCCGCCGTACTTCGGCTGCTTTTCCGTCTTTAAATCGGGTCGGACATGTACCCCAAACGATGCGAAGAAGCAAGGCGGATATTTCCGCCTCAGAAACATAGGGCGGAGTGTTCCGCAAATGCGTAGTGGAAACAGCGACGGCAAAGGAGGGCGCAAATCGGCATCAAACGAGGATGAAAAACAGGGCGGAAGTTTCCGCCCCACTAATACAACCGCCCAAAAGCACGGCGTATCAGGAGTGAGGGTGGCCCCCTACCTGGCTGCAGATCGTCGGTGGTTGTAGCTTCGGTGGCTCCAGACATCTCCAGCTGGCGCCCCCTACTCGCCCGAAAGGGGGGAGGGAAAGTATGATACCCCCACCATGGCCCCCCTCTCCGTAGTTCGTCACGCTGGAGGTCGTCAGTAGCCGGGGCTTCCACGATGGCTCCAGATTGCCCAAGATGGCCTCCAAGATGTTGCAAGATGGCCCAGATGTTGTCCAACATGGCTCCAGGAGGCCCCAAGAAAGCCCGAATTTTGAAGCATCCGGGTGGCACCAATACAGCAGGGGGCCCTGGGAGAGCCCAAATGGCCACCAGAGGTGCCCGAGGGTCACCGAGACGGCCACAACAAACGGTTGATCGACCTCTCCAGGAGGGCAGCGCAAATTTAGGATTCTCCTTTCTTCACGATGACCCCAATTAGGTCCGACAGGCTTCCCACAGGGGCTCAACTTAATTCCAAGAGGGGCCCAAAGGATTTCGGATGGGTATGCAAGAGAGCCCCAAGATGACCAAAACAGATTTCCAAGAGGCTCTCAAGGGCCCCACGTTGGCATTGTGGGAGCTGATTAGGCTGATCCGTCCTTCGGTTTGACCAAATGTCCCCCCCCCCTCCCCCCTTGTGTGTTCACCCGTGCTCATTCACTTCCCCATCTTACGACAGCTCACTTGGGAATGTTTCTGCATTGGCTGGTGGGGATACCCGAAGCAATAATTCGCCGGCCCAACGGGCCAGAGGCGTGCTAAGATCTCCGGTAACTGGTTAACAATTCTCTAGTTCGCGCGCGCGGGGCGGCCCCTGGGGGTCCCCGGACGAAAAGTACCCCCGGCGGGTCCCGGCTGATCCCCGGGCGACTCCACCAGAGCGCTCCATGAGCGCACCAACAGGGCTCCGAGACGTCCCCGAGAGCCCCAAGAAAGGCCAAGAGGCCCTCAAGAGGCCCCCAAGATGGTACACGAGGGGTCCGACATGCCACAAGATCGCTCCAAGACGCCCAAGACAGCCCCCAGACGCCCCAAGAGGCCTCCAAGAGCACTTCCAAGAGGGCCCCAGGAGGCAAAATTCATTGCTTTTCCTTAGGTTTTTGAAAGATTTTGGAGTTTCCACCTTTTCGGTTTCCCGACGCCCCAAGACGGCCCAAGAGGCCCCCAAGATCGCCCCAAGAGGGCCCAAGAGGCCCCCAAGATGGCCAAAGAGGGCTCGAAGACGGCCCAAGAAGCCTCCAAGACGGTCCAAGAGGGCCCCAAGAACGCCCCCAAAGGGGCCCCAGAGAGGGAACACGAAACAACATTTCGAGCCCTCGGCCCTAAGAAGCCCCCACGAGGCCCCAAGAGGCCCCTAAGAGGCCCCAAGAGGCCCCCACGAGGCCCTCAGGAGGCCCCCAAGAGTCCCCCAAGCGGCCCCAGGAGGCCCCCCAAATGCCCCCCCGAGCACGCAAACAAGTGCAAGCGATGCTACAATGTGCTCTCCTTTCGGTAGACTCCCAACGGGGCCCCTACAGACTTGCAACAAGCGTCAAGAACCTGCACAAAAAACACTGTCCAGGAGCGTTCACAAGTGCCGCGAAGAAGCCCTCCTTACGCCGGAAAGCCCGGAAAGCCGGGTGGGGTGAGCTGTTTTTCTCACCACCGCGCCCTCTCACACAATGGCTTCCGCACGCCGCCCAGAGTGCGATGCTTCCCATCACACCCCCGACGACGACGACGACGACGACGACGACGACGACGACGACGACGACGAAGACGACGACGACGACGACAGAAACAAGACAAACAAGATGCGGCACGCTGCGGTTCTGCGGACACACAAATAAATACACACAAATCTACCCCCCCTCCCGCCCCAAGGGGCCCCGAAGAGCCCCCCAAGAGGCCCCCGGGGAGCCCAATACGCCACCAAGGAGCCCCAAGACGCTCCCAAGAAGCCCCCAAGAAGCCCCCAAGACGGCCCCAAGAGGCCCCAAATAGCGCTCCAGGCTCCAGGGCCGGCGGAATGAGCGAAGCGATTCAATAATTGAAGTAGCGCGGTGCGACTACAATTATAGCTTGCCGAAGGCAGATACGCAATGCAAAGTAATATGCTGCAGCTTCGAATCAATGGAAGTCGTTCCCGCGGCGCATGGCAGAGCAATGCGCACATGACATGCGACAGCGGCATTGGCCAGCGACATTGACAAGGACGGTGATCATAGTGTTCTTTGCGCGCCACGTCACCAGCTTATCATCTGCTCACCAGGAGCTGGCCTACTCATCGTCTTCGGCAGCCTCCTCTTCCACCTTCTGCTTCTTCTTGGGGGGGGCGTCTCCGGCATCGCCAGCATCCGCAACCGCTGACGCACCCGCTTTTGCGGCCTTCGCTTTTGCCTTCTCGAGTATCTTGTCGACCATCACCTCCTCAGCCTTCAAGAACTCCTCGACGGAGCTCGCGGGCACCGCGAATTGCTTCCGCCCCTTCTCTATGCGCTTCTCCTTGTCCCACTCGGCCTCTGGGGAGACCAAGAGATACCGATACCGCCACTCCCCGAACCTCTCCCGGGGTGCGTTCTGACCAGAATTTCGAGTCCAATCCAGCAGTGGTGACGAGAGCCTCGGCCCCCAAAGGCGAAAACGAGGAAAGGGCTTCGGTATCGGTACCCTTTCCTCCTGTGAGCCTCTCCCCTCATGAAGTAGCGATCCCTCTTCTTGTCGTACTCGAAACCGCCCCTCATCATCAGACTGTGCGTCCGGTCGTCCATCTTGCCCATGGCGCTGGCCGCCGAGGCCCTAGCTCGGGCTCTACTTACTGGGGGGGGCAATGATCGCGGGGTGGGAAGGCGCTGGCCCTGCATCTGTAGACGAGGCCCGTGCCTTCTGAGAAGTTGGGGTGCTTCTAGGAAGCCTTCCCCCCTCCCCCTAGCCCCCCTCTGCGCGTGGCTGAGTTTTGCATCCGCCGTGCGCCTTCGGTGGCAACTCATGGGAGCCTTCCATGACATCTTGCCGGCTCTTGCGAATCGACGCAAATCGACGCTAGTCGACGCTAATCGATTCTAAACCGACGCTAATCGACGCTAGTCGACGCGAATCTAACCGATGCTAAATCGACGCTACCTCTTCGATTTCTAGACGCTAATCGACGCGAGTCGACGCTAAAGACGAAATTAGGAGGGTATATCAGGCTTCCGGAAAGGAGTAGAAGGAGGGCGAGGGCGAGGGGGGGAGGACTAGGAGGAGACAGAGCTGTCGAAGAGGAGGGGGAGGAGGAGGAGGAGGAGGAGGAGGAGGAGGAGGAGGAGGAGGAGGAGGAGGAGGCGGAGGAGGAGGAGGAGGAGGAGGAGGAGGGAGGAGGAGGAGGAGGAGGAGGGGAGGGGGAGGAGGGAGGAGGAGAGGAGAGGAGGAGGAGGAGGAGGAGGAGGGAGGAGGAGGAGGAGGAGGAGAGGAGGAGGAGGAGCCGGAGGCGGAGGAGAAGGATGAGGAGTTGTAGGAGGAGTTGTAGGAGGAGGAGGAGGAGGAGGAGGAGGAGGGGAGGAGGAGGAGAGGAGGAGGAGGAGGAGGAGGGGGAGGGGGAGGAGGAGGAGGAGGAGGAGGAGGAGGCGGAGGAGGAGGAGGAAGAGGAGGAGAGGGGAGGAGGAGGAGGAGGAGGAGGAGGAGGAGGAGGAGGGAGGAGGAGGAGGAGGAGGACCAGGAACAGGAACATGAACAAAATGACGAGGGGAGGGGTGCTCAAGGAAGCCCCCCTCTGCGCGTGGCTGCGTTTCATACGTCCGCCGCCCGCTCCGACGCTCGAGGGCGACGGCCCTCTCTGAGGAGCGCCCCCTTCGACGCCTACCGTGGCTTTCGGGCCCAAGCTCGGGCCCCCGGCGGACGTCCGGGACGCGTCGGGCACCTTCCCAGAACTCCCTGTGACAAAAAATCACGACGGGAGGTTTTTCGCCATTTTCGGCCTCTGGGGGCCCTTCCCGGGCTTCGGGGCCGTCAGCAAAACGACTCAGGAAGAAAAACCGGTCCCGGGGAGGGGGTCCAGACTTCTCGGGGTCGACGCTGCGACAAAAAGTCACGTCGGGGGTCTGGATCCAGAACGCCCTCGACGAGGAGCAACTGCTGGAAGGCATCCCGAGGCTGAAACACCGCCGAGAGCCGGAGAAAACGCCCGAAATCCTCGAGCGTCGAACGTCCGACCCGGAGCGTCGATCGCCCCCCCCGTTACGCAACGCCCGACCTGCACGAGGGCAGCGGGGACGCCGGCTCGCCGCAAGCTGCGGTTCGCGGCGTCAGGCGGGGGCGGGCCGGGGGCGCCGCCGCCGCCAACTTGGAGAGCCAGAGCGGCAGCAGGAGCCATCCCTGACCATCCGGTGCCCTCAGAAATCTAAAGAAAAGTTAAGGTTATGTTTCTGAGGGCGCACAAAAGGAAAGATAAGGGGCATTCCCCTTAGAATCGAGTGGAAATCTAAGTGCAGAAGCTATTGGCGCTATGTGCAATGCACATAGTGTGTTTGGTAGATTTTTGGTAGATTTTTGTGTCTACCAAAAATCTACCAAAAATCTACCAAAAATCTACCAACGCGTTTGGGCCCCACCCATAAGGCCCTAACCTTAGGGTTCCACCCATATGATCCCAACCACAAGGTTCCGCCCATGAGGCCTTGCCCATAGGACCCCGCCTATAGGGTACCACCTAAGCGGTCGCACCCACGATATGAACTCACAAACATGGCGCTCCAGGCGTGGGGCGCGCGGTGTTTCTACCCCTTGCCATTGCCTCTCGCAGAGGCCCCTCGGAGACGACCCTTCGGAAGAGCGGTTGCAACCCGTGTGCATACATACATCTATACATATATATACACACATATATATACACACATATATACAAGTGGCACGTGTGTGCCCAGGCTCATACAACAAGCTGAAGGGGCGTTTGAAGCAGGAGTGACATGCAACAGCGAAGTCGCACTCGAGCGCAAATGAGGTTGCCACACCTTGCGATGTGTGTACCAGGGCCCCCCAGGAAGCCTCAGGAGGCCCGACTTGGATACCAGAAGAGGCTCCAGGAAGCCCCAGGATTGTGAATGTTGTGTATGTGTGTGTGTGTGTGCGTGTGTGATGTGTGCTTTGTGTGGTGCGTGCTTTTTGTGTGTTGTCGGTGTGTGTGTGTGTATGTTATGTTTGTCTAGCGTGTGATGTGTTGGGCGTGATTTGTGTCTCTGTGTGTGCATGTAGTTCTGAAGCCCCAGGAGGCCCCAGGAGGCCCCAGGCGGCCTCAGCAGGCCCAGGAGAACTCCAGGAGGCTCCGAGGCGGGGTCTGGGGTACCAGAAGGTCCAGAAAGCCCCAGGAGGCCCCAGGAGGTTCCAGGAGGCCCCCAGGAGGCTCCGAGGAGGGGTCTGGGGCTCGATTTTGGGAGGATGTCTCAGGCGAAACCGCCATTCTCTGAGAATCGGGGTCAACATTATTGAAATTATAATATGTTTTTTGAAGGTTTTATGTTAAAATGTTGAAATTCCTATGTGTTTTTGGACCTCTCCTTCACGATCTGCGTGAGGGGTGCCACCGATTTTCAGAATTTCGAGGATGTCCCGAGCGAAACGGCCAGAAAAATCAAAGACGGACGCACGCACGGACGCATTAATCCCCTCTGAGCTCTACTCCCTCGGAGAGGTGCGTATGAGAATAGATATATATATATATATATGTATATATATGTGTAGGTGATCTCTCCGTAGTGGCGAACTGATCTAGATGCACAGGGATTACGTGTGCGCGATTCGGTCTCTTTCCAATATCCACCCTCTGTCATCCTCTCTCTCTCTCTCTATCTCTCTCTTGCTCTCGCTTGACAGCAGTGAAGTTTCAACAATCCCACGCGTCACATCCTATAGCTAGCTCTTTTTGGTTCCAGGCAGCCATGGCTGCTGCAGGGAGGAGGCCGCGTGCCCTTGCCAACCCAAACGTCACCGATCAAGATTTCATTGAGTGCATATCTGAATTCTAGACGCTACGCGTATCCCCACCAGCCCCTCTTGGGATATCTCTTGGGATATCTCTTGGGCGTTTCTTGGAGGCATCTTGGGACGTCTGGGGGGTCTCTTGGCGGTCCTGGGGGGCTCTTGGGCGTCTTGAGTGCGTCGGGGGGGGGCCTCTTGGGGACATCTTGGCGCCTCTTGGGGCCTCCTGGGCGCCTCTTGGGGGCGATCGATCAAAGAAAGGATGTTCCTTAGTTAGCACCGCCCCTCGGGAGCCCCCAAAATAGCCTCCTGGACCCATCTTGGGGACCTCTTGTAGCGCCTTGGGCGCTCTTGGGGCCGTCTTGGGGCCATCTTGGGCCCCTCTTGGGGCCATCTTGGGCCCTCTTGAAGCCATCTTGGGCCTCGGAAGGCCATCGGAAGCGAAAAGGAGAGAAGGCAACCATCATTGGTTTCCCTTAGGGTTTTCAAGGATGTTATCATCTTGAAGCACTCCTTGGGGAGCTATTTAGCCTCTTGGAGCCGTCTTGGGGCGATCTTGGGGCCTCTTGGAGCATCTGCAGAGCCATCATGATGGCCCATCTTGAGCCATCTTGGAGGTCATCTAGGGATTTCCCAGGCGCTCTTGGAGCAGTCTTGGGCCATCTTGGACGCTCCAGCGCATCGCCGCGCCCCCCGTCCAGGGAGTAGGGGGAGGGGTAAACCCCTACCCGAAGGGGAAGAAGGAGGGGTGGAAGAGGAAACTCCCTAAACCACCTACGCCCAGAGGGCTTGTGGGATTTACACAAGGAGTTTCGATTCATCATGTCCTCGGTCCGAAGCTTGCGAATGGCATGCATCAGGTTACTCCAAACATGGTCGTCCGGTTGTGCCCGCTGCTTGAGAGTCTCTTCAAGAAAGGCGTGAGAAACGGAGTGGTTTATCCTAACAAGTTAGAAGTTTGTCTGAAATCAAGTTGCAGCTCCAGCCTCCCGATGGAGATCAATGGGCCTGTGTATTTCCACCAGGTGACAGAACATGTGCGACACTGTCTTGCAGTTCTTCGGGAGATGAAGCGTGAATCGTGCAGCCAGGGCCCACAGAATGGTAAACGGTCAAAGGTCGGAGGGTTCAGACGTGCTTGCGGCTCGTCAGATACCATCATCATCAAAGGCCTGCTAGATAAGATGGAGTTAGATAGCTCATCGACGCCCGATCTTCAATCGCCGCTGCCTTCGCCGCTGCCTTCGCCACGCAGCGATCGTGACCACGCGGAGATCGATATCCCCAAGCTCGACCTGCCCCAGGACACGGACTTAGACGCCGACGGCTACCCGAAGATTTTCACGAATGCCACCGCGATCCTGGCGCAGATGCAGCTCAGCATCCGTTCAAGTGGCAGTGCGGCGTCGATCCCGAGCACCGCGGTGTACGGCGAGGACGGCTTCCCTCTCGTCGGTGGCTCCGACTGCCAGGGCGGCCAGGGCGACGACCAGGGTGACGACGACGGCGAGGGCGACCAGGAGAGCGACGGCCACGTCCTGGACCCGCAGCCCAAGCGGAGGAAAGCCACGGCCCTCGCGGGCAGGAGTTCGGGCAAGGGCAAGGGCAAGGGCAAGGGCAAGGCGAAGGGCAAGGCCAAGGCCAAGCCCAAGCCCAAGCCCAAGGCCGTGGCGAAGAAGGACACCGAGATGAAGGCTACTATCCATGAGAGCCCGTCGGTGCCCCCTCGCGCGGGCCTGCTGTGCCGCCCGAGCATGGCTGGGCCCACGGCTGAGAACGACCCCCGCTGTAAGCTCACGGCGCGGGAGTACCAGGCGGATGGCTCCTTGAGGCGCGTCTGCATCTGGTCAGCCAGGGTGAGACTTTGGGGTGATTCTCTAGCCGCTGATATGCGCAAGATGTACGCTGCCATCGATGGCGGCACCATGACCAAGCAGAAGTGTTTGGACATGCGTGATCGCATGAAGTAGAGACCACCACACCAGTCGTCACACACAACATATGTATTGTCACGCACACAAGATATGCATTGCCACGCACACAACAGATGTATTGTCACGAAGTGGTCTCTACTACGCATAGTTTCTCTTGGGCGTGATTCTTTTGAAGTACAGGGATGTACTCATGCAGATGAATCTGTCAGACATCTTTCAGTGCGGTGCACAGTGTGACGTGCAATTTGCGCAGCGCCTCTCATTGTAGCCATTGAAAAAAACGTTCGCCTTCGACTGTCTGGATGCCCCTTGGACTCTGAGCGCCCGAGCGTTTGAGGAGGCTGAGGGCATGGTCAGGCCCCACCGCTGCGACGGATGATGGCGCTGTGACAAACAAACATTACAAACAAACAAACAAACAAACAAACAACTAAACAAACAAACAAACAAACAAACAAGAAGACAACTAACCAACAAACCAACCAAACAAACAACCAAACAAACAAACAAACAAATACAATCAAGCATCGATATGATCTGATGTCATATGCTATGCCATTGCAGCATCGTTGTTGGTACTTGGTCGGCAGTCGTATGTGTCTTATGTTATGATGTGTTATTCCAGCGCCTATAACTGCGTTGCTGGTGGTTGATTCGGCTGAGGGTTCAGCGTCGAGATGGGGGTGTATAGGAAAAGGCTAACATACCAAACTATGATATGATGCGCCATGCCAAGCTATGCCGAGCCAACTTATGCTATGCTACGTCCTGCAACAGCGTTCTGGCTCCTTGCGGCCCAGCTCGGGCGTGTCCAAGGGGTCCTTGAGACCCCTTCCCCATCCTCCCCTCCGTTGCATGGTGTTGTTATGGCTCAGACGGCTCCGAACCACCATCGGACTTTGTTGCTGAGTTTCCCATCGGTCCGAGGATTTGTCCACCGAAGCTGTTTCCACATGGGGCCGAAAAAAGTGATCAAGGCCGTGCTTAAGGGCGGCAAGCCTGTCAAGAAACCAGCGGCTGCTCCAGCAGGGGCCAAGCGGCACGCGTCCGCACTCGCAGCTCCCGAGAAGGCAGTCAGGAGCGTGAACGAGGCCGAGGACGCCAAGTCGGAGGAGGATGGCGTCCTGGACGATCGCCAGACCTCCAGGGCCCAGCGGTGCGTTTTCGAGCACAGCCAGGCCGACATTCGGAAGGACGACTGGGATAAGTACCAGGAGTTGGGCAGCAAGGAGTGCAAAATCCCTGGCAAGATGAAGCAGCGGGCCCAGATCGTGAACGCTTACGTCAGCCGTAGCGCGACGTACAAAGACTCCGTGCAGGTGAAGGCGAGGACGCTCGAGGCGATTACATCTAGGACTGTGTCCAAGGGCAAGGAGGATGCCGTCGTGGGCATGAGCAAGAACTGCATGATCGGGACCGTGTTCGCAGGGAGCAAACA